CCTCTTGACTGCTTCAGTGACTCTTTCTCTAAATATTGTTGGGCATTCCTCCTTTCCCTGAACCACCTCTGTTAATTTGGAAAAGTTGAGCATTTTGATCTGACTAGCTTCCATGTCTTTATAAAAGACACTAGCATGTGTTACAGAGATGGGATTCTCTTTGACCCAGTTGTTGATTCCACTTGGGACCCCCTCGAACTTTTGATTTCCAGGTAGGAACTTTGACTAGGGCATGGAATTGGTCCCCTTAGACCTGACCAGCTGCCCAAATCCTGTTTCTCTCATCTACAGACAGCAATGTGAGACTAAGACACACACATCTTTCCATGACAAATCAAAACCAACAGCCAGATATTCAAATTCCTCTGTGAATTTCCCAGGGTCAGCAGAGAAATTCCATAACTTTTCTATACACATCTCAATATCGCCCATTGAAAATAGAACATGAACACTCACAGGCTGCCCTGTAGGTTCTGATACCTCCCGCAAAGGACATATAGAAGGGAAGTTAGGATCCAGAAAGGGGGCTGAAGAGAAGGAGTGGGGTCCTATGCTGGTGGGGCTGAGCCTCCTCTGGGGCTAAAGCAACAGCTACAGACCTGATCACTTCCTCAAATTCTCAGGCCTGTTCAAAGTCAAAGAGCCATTTGGAACTCTCCCTGTCTCCTCAAGCCAACACTTTTCCATAAAAGATTCACAATATTGGGTATTATCCCTCAGGCCCCACCAGCAGGAAGTATCAGGACCCATGTTGTCCTAAAGTTTCCTCTTATGCTTTCTCCTAGGAGTTTTACACTGTTAGCTCCTAAAATTTAAGTCTTCGATTCACTACAAGTTAATTTTTTGTGTGTATGGTATTAAAATGTCAGTGTCCAGTGAGAAAAGCCCACATCACCAAGTCCCAAAGCTGCCGATGCCGTCGGGGATGAGGAGAGAAGGGAACACTTTTACACTGTGGGAGGCACTGCAAACTAATACAGCCTCTTGGAAAGAAGTATGGAGAATCTTCAAAGAACTCAAACCAGATCTTTCATTTGATCCTATAATCCCATCATTAGGCATCTACCCAAAACAAACAAACAAAAAAATAGTTTACCATAAGGATATTTTCACTAGATGGTTTATCACAGCTCAATTTACTATTTCCAAGATGTAGAAACAATCTAAATGCCCAACACATGGATGGATTACTGAACTCTGGTATATGTGTATAATGGAATACTATTCAGCCATTAGAAAGACGGAGATTTTACATCTTTTGTATTAACCTAGATGAAGTTGAAACACATTCTTCTTAGTAAAGTATGGCAAGAATGGAAAAGCAAATATCCAATGTACCCAATACTGATATGAAGCTGTAACCAAGACAAAAACTCAAGTTAGAGGGAAGAGAGAGGAGAAAGAGGGGAGAGGGGGGATTGGTGTGTTCCAGGTGAATGGGCACAATGTAAGGGTACACGGCATACCTTCTGGGCAGAGGACACAACCACAACAGGGACTTTACCTAACAAATGCAAACATCGTAACTTAATTATACCCTCATATTCACTGGAAATAAAAAAAAAAAAATGAAAAATGAGTCTGCTGAAACCACATGAACTATCAGACTTAACAGGCCCTGAACGAGGCCCTGCTCCATGAGGAGCAGAGATGAGTGGGAGGGCACTGACTCAACTTTGGAATCTAGGGGGCAGAGTGCAGGGGAGGAATCTCCAATATGGTTTGACTGATTGCAAAATCTAGAACTAAAGGTTTACAAAGGGGACCCAGTCCCATTTCTGCTTATAATGTCAAAATGAAATTTAATAGAGAAAGCTAATGAACCAAAAGCTGATACTATTTCATATCTTCTGACCAAACCTATAGACCAGTGGTTCTGAACCTTCCTAATGCCATGGCCCTTTAATACAGTTCCTGTGGGTCGTGACCCACAGGTTGAGAACAGTTGCTGTTGACAGTCTCACATTATAATATCCAAAGTGTCTTGATTAAAATTAAAGAAGACTTGTCATATCAAGAACAAGAAAAATTATAACTTGGATGACAAAAGACTATTCATCACACTGAGAGGACGTAGGCGATAAAATTGTTGGCTGGATAGAATCCTTGATGAACTTGATGAGCTGGTTCAGTTAATCTCGAAACACATATGATAGGAGAAAGTCTCTGAAAATAAGTCATAAAAACAAATTGAATAAAAATTAGCAGACAATTTTGTAAAGAAAGAAAAAAGTCTCTCTAGGAACTTAAGAACAAGTAACTACAGTATGAAACTAAAATTTAGACATTAGAGAAGTTACTTCCCACTAGTAGAAAGTACAAGTAGTAGTTACGTCAGCCCAGCAGGGGGAGCTGTGGGTCTTCTCAGGGCTGAGCCAGGCCTGAAACCATCTCAAATGTTCCAATTTAATGGTCCCTGGGCCTGAGCTCACTGGCTTGAGTTAGAAGGGACAGCAGGTGCTTCCTCCCAAGGGGCAAACTCAGAGCTCACACCTGAACAGTCTACCTGACAGTGTTGTTCCTTCCTGGGCCAATGACACAGACTCGGATGGTGCTGATGGTGTTGGTGAAGGGTTCATATTTGCATAATGCACAATTCAACACATGCCCTCCTCCCAGGATAGAACACTCCCCACCCTCTCCCACAATAGAGCCATCTCAGAGTCCAGCAGAAACTGTGGGTTCTTAGAGTGTTTGGAAAGCCCACACGGTGGCCTGGATGCCCATCCTTCTCCTCTCCCTCCTCACTCTCTGCCCAGCTACATAAAGATTTCAGAGACGCCTTTGAAGGGGCCCCTCTGTGTTCTTTCCTCAGTCCTCTCATGTGTCTGATTTGGTTTCAGGGTTCTGTGTTGAAGCGACTGTGGTGACTCAGGGGACCTTGTACTCTGTCTGCTGGAGTGACAGACACTCTCGTGAGACTATAGCGTCAGAGCAGCCACCAGTGGTCACCATCCTTTCTAGATGAACCATAGTCTGCCTAAGTCCCCAGGACAGAGCTTGATGATGACAATCACTCCTGGACACCTACCTGGTTCTCAGGATCCCTGCTCGGGGGCAAAGCTGCCCTGACTCTCTGGGGGACCCAGCCCAAGGTCCAGGCTGAGGACTATAGCAGGGTAACTCTGCAGAGGTGCTCAGCACCGGGACATGCCCAGAGGGAGGACAAGACCTAAACCTGCCTTTGACACAGGTGATGGCGTGATGTCAGGGTCACACAGCCAGATGCCTGAGCTCTCTGGGCAGACTTCCTGTTGATCATCTTTACAGAGAAAGGTGAATGTCAGACCAGGGTTTCTCAGACTTTCATGGGGAAATGGATCATCTGGGAACCTGTACCATGTGGACTTTGACTCAGTGACTCTGAAATGGAGGCTGGGATTCTGCATTTATAAAAAGTCCCTTTCCCCAAATATCCACATGTGAGCTTCAATGTCACCAGAAAAATGAGCATAGTGGATCAGCTGAAGCCATCAGAAAACAAAAGCCCAAGAGAAACTTCTCATGGAAGGAACTGAAGGAGTTGATGTCCTTTAGGAAGGGTCCCCAAGAGCACACAGGGACACGACCAGAGAGCACAGCTGAGGAGCTGGGAGAGGCTGTGATTTGTGTGGGAAAGAAAACAAAAAGAAAGAAAACACACCCCAACTTCTGTCAACCCGACCCTTCACCTGGAGCCTGTCTGATCCTCACACGGGCTTCTCCTCCCGTCCCTTCTACACAATGTACCATCGTCACCCCGCCCCCTCCCGTCTCTGACTCATGACTTCCCTCCTCAGTCCTCAGGTCTCTCTCCCTGTCATTCCACTCCCTTCTCTCCTGCCAGCTCCTCAGCTTATTACTAAACTGTGTGTAAGTGAAAAGCCACAGGCATTCCTTCTGTGACGGTTTACTCACACATACTCTATTTTTCATGATTTTCTCTGACTTCAACTTGAGAAGAAACCCCAAGGGAGCTGATTCCCTTCTCTCACTACTGAAAAGATCTTCTCCTGGGAGCAGCGCCTGTGGCTCAAAGGAGTAGGGTTGCCAGCCCCATATACCGGAGGTGTTGGGTTCAAACCAAGCCCTGGCAAAAAACTGCAATAAATAAATAAATAGATCTTTTCCTTCTCCCTGGGACTCCCCTCACTCCCCAGTGACCCTAGTGTGTTCCCAGCCTGCTCCTTTATTCCCCAGACAGTCCCCACTCTGCACCTTGTGTGTGATCTCCTGAGGGAACAAGTGGGGAGAGGGAAACCGGCTTCAAGAGCAGCCTGGGAAGTGGGTTCACAGCTGAATTGTCCGCGTTGTCAGGTAGTGTACATTTTACGTAATGTGCAGTTTGTACAGGAGACCCCCTTCCACTTAATGTGGGGTGAGTTGTGTATCCTGTTCCCACTGAGGAGGCTCAAATAAAAGACTAAAGTCTGACATGAGACAGGAGCTGCCCTGAGGAGGGGCCTCACTCTGCCTTTGGGCAGGGAGTGAGCAGTGGTCAAGGTTCTGGTAGGGGCAGGAGCCTCTGTCAGGACCCCCTGGCATCTCGTCACAGACACACTGGAAAAGGACATGGGCAACAGGGAGCGATATGGACCCACACTGACAACTCTGTGGGGTTCAGCTGGGAACCCAGACTCCTGGCCCTGGGTTCTGCTCAAGGCTCACTAGAGCCACATGCTGGGTCCTCCCTGGAACCCTGGGATCCTCAGACCAAGCCCAGCCTGGCCGCCCTCTCCCAGAAATGACACCCAGCCACTGGGGCTGCACACAGGCCCAGGGAGGGTTGGGCAGGGCAGGGGAAGAGCAGCACATTTGCATGCAGGGCCCCCCTCTCTCCTCTGGGGCTGGAGGGGGGATAAGAGAGACCTGCAGCGTTTCTGCCTCAGCAGAGCTCTGGGGTGTCTGCACCATGGCCTGGACCCCACTCCTCCTCCTCACCCTGTTCCTTCACTGCACAGGTCAGGATGGTCCTCAGCATCCTGACCCTCCAGCCCACTGACACCTCCTCCTACACCCATGCTGGGACTGTCCTGCCCTCTGGTCCTCCTTCCAGGACATAATGGGTGTTTTTGTTTCCAGGGTCCCTCTCCCAGCTTGTGCTGACTCAGCCTCCCTCTGCATCTGCCTCCTTGGGAGCTTTGGTCAAGCTCACCTGCACCCTGGACAGTGGGCACAGCACCTATGGAATTGGATGGCAGCAGCAGCAGCCAGGAAAGGCCCCTCGGTATATCGTGGGGCTTAGCAATGATGGAACCAGCAGCAAGGGGGATGGGATCCCTGACCTCTTCTCTGGCTCCAGCTCTGGGACTGACCGCTACTTAACCATCTCCAACCTCCAGTCCGAGGATGCGGCTGATTATTACTGTCAGACTTCAGATTGGGGTATTTCTCACAGTGACACAGGCAAGTGAGGAAGTGGGACAAAAAATTGCTGCCTACTCAGGCTTTTGTTTTATGACATATTTGAAATTTGAAAATATGACCCATATGTACAAACTCAACTTGGAAACACCTCTGGGTTAAAATATGCTACTCTCAATTTTCCATTCAATGTGTCAGAAGACCCAGGGCAACTCAAAAGAAAAAAATCCCAACTGATGACACCGAAATATTGCCTTTTTATCCAAATGTGCTAAAACCAGCATCTTTGGAGCTGGTGATTTTTACTTGAAAGGTAGAAAATGAGTCTCTACTGACTCATGTCTTGCTCAGAGCCAGGAACCATCCCAGCAAGTCGACAGTCCTACAGCATGGACTGTCCCCTCCCAGTTGTCACATCAGAGACCTCCCAGTCACCTGGGATCAGGGCTGCCTGAGGCTCCCTACATCCCAGGGACTGGACAGTGGGATGTGAAATGCTACCTGAGGACAGTGGCCTGACTCACTCTTGGGTTCCTGCAGCTGTAGCTGTCACCCAGCGTGGAGGGGCCTGAATGGCAGCAGCAATGTCTGTGAGGGCAGGAAACCTCCTTGCTGGAGGTGAGAGGGGAAGTGAGGCTCCACCTCTGCTGGGAAATGCTAAGCCTGCTCCAGGGACGTTAGGGTATGAAGGTCACATGAATGTGATTTTCCTGCAGCTGATCCCACTCAGGGACATGGTGACCCCACAGGTGGGTATTCCTGAAGCCATAGGCACTGATTTGTGTCCTTTTCTCTCTTGCCCCACTGGGGCTTCTCAATAATCCAGACTGTCATGTGGGGTCTGTGGGACATCAGGGAACAGAAACTTCCCAACCTGTATACGTGTCACTCCCCCTGTGAAGGTAGTGATGTGCCTGGGTCTTGAGGCGACCTTCCCTTACACAGGGAGCTGACAGACACTGGGGGTTAGGTGGAGACTGATACCATGGCTCCCGTAAGTTATCCTGACTTTGTGGCCTATTGCAGAAATGACAAAACTTCTGGTGTCCCAGTCTGATTCTCCGTTGTCAGCCAGCTCTTTGACACCCTGTGATCAAGGCTGAAGGTCAAGCCGATCATCACTGTCACAGCTGAACACAATCTGATGCCAACAAGAGCCCCCATTCACAGCGGAGTAAGACAAGGGTCAGCCCTTCATGTCTACCCATCAAGCCCATCCCTCCTGTGTCCCTGCCTGTGACCAACACCTGATTAGGTTGTGGCTTCTGCTGTCACTTGTGTTCCCAGAAAGTCTGATCCTGTCAAGTTGGCTCATCTTTAATGGGGTCGACAAGAATAACACCTTCTCTCCCTGGCTTCCCAGTGAGACAAAATATGTAGTGATTGCCCCAGAAGTTATACAAGTTCCCTCATGTGAATGGGGTGTCCTGGGGACTAGAAATGCACTTTGTGTGACACAGAAAACTCAGGTTCCTTTGCAGTCCCCTAGTTGTCAAATGCACCTGGCCTAGGTTTTGTGGATCATTTTGTTAGCTGTGAAGCTTTAGGGAAGCTGAGTCCAGTTTAGTCTCAAAGGGTGTCCCAGGGGGCTCCCAGATACCCAGGTGCAGGATGAGCTCTCCCTGTAAGGAGCTGATGGTTCAAGGATCCTTCACTCCTAACATTCCCTACTTGAACCTCATGAACCCAATTTTCTCCTCTCTCATACTTGAGGTGGGATGATGCTGGAGTGCACTTCAGTTCTCTGGGAGCTTCAGATAAGCTTTCTGATCAGATCCTTTTCAGATCCTTCACTCCTAACATTCCCTACTTGAATCTCATGAACCCAATTTTCTCCTCTCTCTGATACTTGGAGTGGGATGACGCTGGAGTGCACTTCAGTTCCCTGGGGACTAGAGGGATTAAAAATCCCAGCTCATAGAAAGCTGCACCTGCTCCAGCAGAATCACCCCAGAGCAGCCCGGGGAGCCGCTCTCTGCTCCCTGCTCCTTCCTGCATGGACTGGAACCTGGGCTCTTCTGCCCCACACAGGATTCCAGTCCCTTAATTCCCCACAGGTGACCAGGGGCTGGAAGACGGGTGGAGTAATTGTCTCATAGGCAGTGTCTGTCTGCGATGATCAGAAAGCACTTCTAGCCGTCTGTTCAGACAGAATCCCCATCTCCACACCGGCCCCTCAGGAACTGACTGTGACAGTGAAGGCTGACCCTGAAGGATGTGTAGGCTCAGCATGTGCAAGGCTGGAATGTAAGCAACAGGGAGGCTCAGCTGTGGGTGGCCCAGGTCCAGCTGTTCAGTCAGAGGCTGAGCTCTCTGCAGTGTGGGTCCTGCAGAGAGACTTAGGGAGCTGAGGCCCCAGGGTTATGCAGAAAAGCAAAGTGAAGTGAGCAGGAGGAGGTCAGAGGACAGGTGGGGGGGCAGATGTGGTAATGGGGGTGCAGCATGAAGAAAAGATTGTCTCTTGTGACTCTTAGTGAGAGGACACATGGGGACTAGAGCTGTGACAAAGAGAAGACCTGACACATGGGGACTAGAGCTGTGACAAAGAGAAGACCTGGCAGGTCCTGAGCTCTTGAATTGAAGAAAACCCGGGCTTGTTCCTGAGGGGTCCTGGGAAAGATCACGGAACAACCTTGGTTTCTGTCCTCTATGTAGGGTCATCTGTTCCATCTGCTGTCCCTCCAAGCTCCTCTGGGGTGTGCAGGTCACATCCTCCCTGTGGTCTCTGTCCCAGCACCACCTCTCATGGGCAGGTCACACTCTCTGCTGAGTAGGGCAGAACAGCCCAGTGGAAATACATAGATTTGTAGAAAGAGTCTGCCTGTGCCCAGGGTGACTGAGGAGACGTGGGCATCAGGGCTCCACTAGGGGCCTTGGAGAGCAGAGCAGAGATGCTCCCTACACCTGGCCTCCTCCCTTTCCTCCTCCCTCCCTCTGCTCAATAAGGCTCAGGCCAGGTAAAGACTCAGGGCTGCCTGAGGGCCCCTCACAGCCCAGGGCCTCCATCCCAGGTCCTGTCCCCACACTCTGTATCTGAGATGGCAGGAATGTTTACTCCATGTGCCCACGGTGTGATTAGAGGGTGCTGAGTCTAACCTTGAAATGGACTAATGTCCTCTCAGTGTCCAGGGAGGAAAGAGAAGGGTCAGTAATGAGGAGCCCCCTAGGTCTCACGTCCCTCTTCTCCCTCATGGTCACACTCAGTGTCCGCGTCACCCTAGGAGATGTGCCTGGGATGGGCAAACATTTTTCATTCATATTCTTCTCTTTCTGCAATCTGTGTCAGTGAGGAGCTCAAGGGAACAGGGGTGCAGAGAAAGAGGCTGGGCCCGAGGGCAGGTCCTGGCCATCTGGGGACCAGGCTCTGCTCTGCCCAGGGAAGAGGAAGAGGAGCAGCTCCTGTGCCCTGGAGGGAGGGGCCACCCTGTCCCCACTGGGCTTCCTGCCTGAAGGGGAAGCTCCTCAGGGAGAAAGAGCTTCCAGGATTGTCCTGTAAACCACACAGGGACCGGGCAGGAAATGCCAGGGGTAGGAGACTGCGTGGACACCTGGGACAATGTGTGTGAGACATGGACCCTGCTCACCTCCACTTTGGGAGAGGAAACAGTGCACAGAGGGGCAGGTCTAGGTCTAGGCAGCAGGGGGCACTATGGCCTCTCTAAGGCCTGAGCTTTGGTCCCAGCTGGGAGCCCTGCTTGGCCTGTCTGAGTCCTCTGCCCTATAGTTACTGGGCCAGCAGCTATGTCCTCACAGGCCTCTGGAACACGAAAGAAAAGGCCCACCCAGGCCCACCCCTACCAGGATCAGCTTTCCAAACAGTGTGGCCTCGAACAGCCCAGGGGGAGCCTGGCTTGCATGAAGGGTCCTTCTTGTTTCTGGGCTTCCAGAGGAGAGGGACTGGGGGGCCAGTGCTGCTTCTCAGTATGCACAGCTGTGCGGGGTCTCCAGCATGGGTGCCCCCTCTTCTCCTGTCCCCTTCTCTCTTGTCCAGGTATCAGGTTGGGGATAAAAGCACCAGGGACTCTGGACATGTCTCTGTCCACTGATCCAACCCTCTCCCTCTGTGCCTGTCCTAAAGTTCAGGGTCCTGGGCCCAGTCTGTGTGGATGTGACCACTTGCAGCCTGCGAGCCTGGGGGAAGGTGGCCTCCATGTCATTCCTGGAAGCAGCAGTGATGCTGGGTGAGACTTCTCCTATGGGACCAGCAGCTCCCAGGCTGTGCTGACTCAAAATGCCATTGTCAACAACCCCCTGTCCTGAAGGAACTGGCTGTGCTCTGACAGCCCATCCAGAGTAGTGTCATTAGGGTTCATTGACCATCCAAACCTTCATCCCAATCAGCACCAATAAGGCTGAAAAGAGCAGTGCTAGTGGGAGCTCCTTATACCCCAACCCTGTGCCTGATTGTGGGGGGCCCTGTGTGGAGCTGAAATTCAACCCCATCTCCAGCAATGTGATGAATGAAGAGGGACATGGCAGGATGGTCAGCCCTGCAGGACGCCCACCTGGACCCCAAATGGGCAACGGTGGAAGCCAGTGAGGAGCTGAACACTGACTCCCACCTGGTGATGAGAGTGCTGGACAGGAGAAAAGAATCAAGGTCACTAGCACCTCAGCTGTCCCTTCCCCTCCCTGGTGTCACTGAGTTACAACAGAGTCCTGTGGGCAGCTAATCTCACACCTCCTCTTAAAGGGGTCATGTCTGTACAAATCACTGCTCCCCTTTCCCCGGGAAGGTGAGAGTTGGACCACTCAGCTGGGCCAGTGGGGAGCTGAGCCCACAGCCCCAGGCCCTTGTGCTTCACCTTAGCGGGGAGGGTCCCTGATTCAGAAGGTTAAATAGGAGCCAGAGTCTCCTAATGTATCACGCACAATGTGTGGGGTGCAAAAGATGACACTTGTCATGTTAAGGAGCAGAAATGTGACAACTTACAGGAGAGACGAAAATCAACACACACCAACACAGAAGTTACTCGGTTACTGAAATTATGTGACAGAGATTTTTTTTTTTTTTTTTTTTTTTTTTTTGAGACAGAGCCTCAAGCTGTCC